ATATATAAATACATATAAAATGTATATATGGTTGGCGACATCCGTATCCGGATTTGACTGGCAATGGGGCCTCCACGAGGACAGCTACAGGACACCTGCGACCAAAGAGGACCATGGATGGTCTGCGCTGCAGCACCCACAGCTCCAATGATAAACTCCATATCCAGTGTAGACCCGAAGGAATAAGACCGGGAGGCAGGCGGATGGGAGCCACGTCTCCTCAACGGAGCCGGCCCACACTCCTACACAAGCAAACACAATCACGCTGTATTTGGGGGATTCAAGCGCACAAAAGCCGGTGAGTGGACCGTAGCCCACTCCAAACTGAGTGCATGGAATCACTCTTCGAGTCCAACACGGCCACAAGGACCGTGAATCCTGCCCCCTCTAGCAACGACCAACTGTCTCCTGGAGCGATTATAGTCGAGTTAGTGGATAATAGACAGGTAGGCAACTTGTCAAGATGCACATCAAGCTGAACCACATCGGGGATGACAAGCAACAGCCAATCACATGTAATGAAATGTCAAATAAAATAGATCGAATACACCGTACCGATATGGCGCTAAATTAACATGAAGTAAATGGATTATCAAAATAACCGTGATAGATTCATGATGGTAGAAAAGGGGATCAAACACATGTAAGGAGAAAAAAGCGAATTTAACCAACTTTAGTTTAAACGAAATGTGCCAGTTACTAGATTATTCAGGTACACATTAAAATGAATTAACAAAATAACAATAAGACAAAGCAGCAAACTCATCATCTGAAATAAAGGAACTCAGCACGCAAGCACACCGTTAGTAAATCAAATGCAGCATGCCTACCAACGCTGTACCGCCCAGATGAAGCTCATCAGAGGACAATTTTCCGACGAGCGTTTAGATCACCATGCTCCTTCTGTAACGAAGAAGATTGTTAAGTTGGTGACAGAAATCATCCTTCACTGAATCAGGGTTGCAGTTTCTGGGTGCGTAAGCCACAATGACAAAAAGGCACGTTTGTCCTCGCGCGAATTTGAAGCCTGAGACGAACCAGCCAAACTAACGGCGCACATCCGGGCAGCTTCAATCCGGGGACTCAAAACAAGGCCGACGCCTGCTTGACCTGCATTTGAAGCCGCGTCATCGCCAGACAGACGCAAAGAGAATGTTCGAAATGATTTGGAATATTTGTAGCTCAGAGAACTCCACAACAACTGAAAAATCCTTCTGAGCTACCAATATTCCAAATCATTTCGAACGCCTACGGGCGCTCAAGGCTCCGCACTGCGCGTCGTTGGGAGGATTTTGCTTTCCGAAATGCTTCCACAAAGCAACAGCTCTACTTCCTCCATGAATGCTTGCGAAGACATTCATCCTCGCAGTGTCAGCTATAGACCACCGATGAAGCATTCACAGACATGCACCATTGCGCAGCAATTTGGAAAGCGTATGGGACGAATGATGATCATAGACGCATACAACCGTATCAGAAAATATGAACATTGTCTAAACGAACATCGAACCAGTTGTTTACAAACAATTGAGCAACAACTGACTGAACAAGTGCACCTGGCAATAGAGTGCAGAGCTAAAAAGGACAAAAGCAAAAAGGCGGACTGCGCTACACCAGAGGTTGACCAAACTGATAACCAGCAAAGACGAATGCATCAACAATGGTTGGATCAGGAACCTGTCAAAACGGCCACTCACTGGTACGGAACAACAAATTCTCATGAAAGGCCTAAATTAACTACAAAGACGTGACAACTATGCATTTCGTGGAACGATTTGAAAGCGCTTTGTAGTCCAACGTATTAGAGAATGAAATAGAGAAACAAATCAGATATACAGCTGACCCAGCCATAACGAATTTAAAGCAATGCAACCCTCTATGCCGACAAAAGGAAGAAGCGATAAAAGCTCTGAAATTGGACGAATCAATTTTTATCCTACCTGTTGACAAAGGACGGATGACAGTAATTATGGATAAAACAGATTACACAGAGAAAGCGAAACAGCTTCTGAACGATACTACAACCTACCAATGCATTGAGAATGACCCAACGTCGCAACTAACCAACAAAATAAACAGAGTGTTAGCGAAGCTTTAGCAGTCGAACGAAATATCGGAAGAGGAATGAGATAAAATGAGGGCTTGAGACTCGAACATTGCACAATTCTATGGACTACCTAAAGCACACAAGGATGGAGCACCCTTAAGACCAATTGTGGCACTTCCAGGCACGCCCACCTACTATCTGGCAAAGGAACTATGGAGGCGCTTCAAGTACCTAATCATAAATCGCAACACTCCATAAACACCGTCCAACAATTCTCGACGAAGCTCAAAGACCTAAAAATAGAAAATGCTGGAACCATGTTGTCCCTCGATGTAAACGCCTTACTCACTTCCGTCAACTTATAGCTGGTGAAAGAAGTTATCGTAGAACATCTGGATAACAGATTGGGAACATGACGAGCAGAAGTGTATGCGAACCTTTCAACTTATGTCACTCAACTTACTTTGAGTTCAACGGAAAAATGTATAAACAAGTGAAAGGTGCACCGATGGGATCACCCGTATCCGGACTCATCGCATTATCATGCAAAAATTGAAACAGGATCTACTACCAATGATTAATCCGAAACTTTGGGTTCGCTACATCGTTTGTGATACTCAAACGTAGTCAAGTACCGATTGCGCTTCAACTGCTTAACGAAGCTATGGACGGCATCTAGTTTACCGTGGAATCAGAGAAAGGGAACAAAATTCTTTTTTTGAATGTGTTAGTAGACAGAACAATGGACGGCGAATTGCAAACATGAGTTTAAAGAAAAAGTACGCACACAGATCAGATATGGAACTTCAACAGCAACCACCCAAGATGTCACAAAACAAGCCGTGTACAGATACTGTTCCGTAGAATAGCAACTCATTGCAGTACGACAGAAGCGAAACGAGCAGAAGAAAAACATTTATCCAAGTCATTTGTGCGCAACGGATATCCACGCAGTTTCATCCGAAGATGCTTAAACAGCAAGCCCTCAAAAACCGAACCTACGTCAGCTATGACGAAACGTATAGTTCTGCCGTACATAAAGAACGTATCTGAAATGACGGCCAGATTGTTCAAACAACATCATATCATGGTATCCACAAGCCAACCGCCACCCTGAGGAAAACATTGTCAAAACCAAAAGGAAAGCGAGAGACACTAGAACGACGGAATGTCGTATATAGAATAAACTGCGTAAAATGTGAAAAGCACTATGTGGGACAAACAGGAAGGAAGCTGTCCACAAGGATACATGAACACCAAAGAGCGTGCAAGAAACATTACGCAACCTCATTGGTTTCAGCACACGTGGATGTAGCGGGACACAGCTTCGACTGGAAAAAAGTAGAGATCTTGACCGAAGGAGAAACACAAAAAGGGAGGGAGTTTCTCGAAGCCTGGTTCTCAACCACGAACTCAATCAACATGCATATCGACATCAATCCAATATACCAACCGCTAAAACAGAGAGAGCACAAGAGAATTAATAACCGCTGTTCGAAAGAACCTGATCCAACACTCAGATAATGAACAGAATGGTCAATGTGAGCCTATATTGCTCACCCACACCCGCTGCACCAATCTGAGTGCGATAATCCCAACCACGTCGCAAACAGCATTTTGGCAGTTTACCACAGTGACTTGAGCATGCCCGCAGAACCCAATGATTTGCCAAGTAAAAAAGGCAAATTCAGTAGCTTCGTATGCCTATATAAGGAACGGAGTAGTTGCTGACAGTATCCATTATTGGGTTTGTTTTCTACCAGCTACTGCTACTTGACTGCCATCAATCCTGCACTGAAGGTGCCACTTCGAATGGTGACGAAACGTTTGCAACCAAGTTATCTAGCTCGGAGAATTCCACAACAACTGAGCAATGAGAATGTGCCGCCAGTGTCACATGTGGGGGATCTCAGAGTAATCACGGGTTTCCGATATCGACCGAGAGGGTCTCGAGTGTTGGGCCAAGTGTTGCCTGTTGCTCAATCTTTAGCAAACTGCGCACGTTGTGTTATGCAAGTCTTAGCGAGGATCGAGGACTCTAAAGGGAAACGGATGAACTGACCTTGTCCGCTTGGTTGACCATGGACTTGTCGACTGGATTGGAGCGACGCTCTGGGATTGTGTGAGTTGGAACTAGAAGACAAGCGACTATTCAAGCAAGGTGGGAAAGCGCCAAGAATTAGGGAATCGAAAACAGGGGATGAAAGCGAAGTTGAAACGGGACACTAAGGATGAAAAAGCGCAAGATGGGAAATAAGAAGGCGGAAAAGCCTGAGCAATATCATCCACACCCGATCCACCCTGATTGATGCAGCAACTAGGGCGACGGCCAGAGCATCAAGAGATTGCTAGAAGAAAAGGTCATGGCGTATTGCGTGGGCAGGATACTGTCAGGTTGCCCAGGCCTAGACAGGAGAACGACTAGGGTTCTCAATCAAAGCCTTTGGTTCAAAAACCTGACCGCAAGGTACAGGGTATGGCGGTGGGTTACAAGGAGTCCGTTTTAAGGAATAAGCAGCTCCCCTCATACCAACCCCAACCTGGAGGACCAGGAGGCTGAATTTGTCTGGCCGCTAACCGTTGACCAATCTGGTATGAGTGGCTATGAACGTGGGAAAAAGCACCACCCAGCATAGGTCAATGGATCACTGAGGCACACCAACCATCGTCCCCCGGTAAGGTCCAGCCTCATCGCGATGGATTGGTGGCATCCATGTCCGGATTTGCCTGTTACCGCAGCGCTTAGAGGGACAGCCACAAAGCGCCTGCACCTACAGAGGGACCATGGGTGGTTAGCGCTGCAGTACCCACAGCCACAGTGTAGTATGGGCCAAAAATGGAAAATTATAGCAGGAGAGTAATAAATGTGTTAAGAAAGACGGAAAATTGACTGGAGATTCGAGGCGGATATATGTGAATTTGAAGACGATTGGGGAAAATTTGTTGTACATACCTTTCGCATATTATATTGCAATGAATGTGACAGATCGTAGGTATAACTGAAGTAAAAGTTACTGGCCATGTTGATGCTATTGAAAAGTTTCAAATAGCGCACTTCGTCGGCCATGACGCGAGTCTGTTTGAGACTGGACTGATACTGCTGAAATGCAGTTTGACGAGAAGTCTCAGAAAACGCAGCAATCGAGACAGAAGAGCCCTTCGGAGTCAGCTTGGGGAATGTGTTACGGGTGGTGGAGGACCTAGAAGATGCAACGGAGTGGGCATTACAGGAGTGCATTTCGTTTCCTGGAATATAAAGAGAATGCGTATCTTCCACCTGAAAAAGGAATGGGTAGTATCACCATGGTAATTAGATAAAGCTGAGAGCCAAGGATGTTTTGCGTAGCAAAAAGACGAATGAACTGGTTTGACAAAATGTGACTGAGGTAGGCATTTTTATGAATGGGATGAACCGCGGTAAACAGAGAGCAAGCAAAAATTTTCAAGAATAAACCATGAAAACGCACTGATTGGAGTCGAACCAGCTGCATGACGGGCAATCAGACTAAAGTGAGAAAGACACGGAACGCCCAAGTACGTTACAGTAAGGGAGGGATCGTCATGATCACAAACAGCAGTACATCAGTCATTTGAACTGATGCTTCGTTGCCACACAACCACAAGCATCAACGGAACGAAGAATAATCACAGGGAAAGGAGCGCAAAACTTTGCCTTAAGCAAACATTCAAGGTCAAAGCAGTTACACCTTGTCAACAACATGTCATCACAAACAACTGGCTATCGTGCAAGGATAAGACGGCATCAGCAAGATAGCTTCCCTGCGGCTTTTATTGCCCGGCGTAGTAACCATCAATTACTCCGCAGAAAACACAGCACCAAACACACTCTAAACAGACAGTCCGACAAGACCTGACAACAGACAGGCTATGGGTGTCGACCGCGAGCCATATCCTGTAAAGTCACGAGCCAAATACAAGGGAGGTAAACTGGACTCCGGCCTGGAAGGTGAAACGGACCAACCGCACCCAGCTTCGTAGTTAGTAATTTCATTTCACACCGCAAAGTCAACTTTTGTTTACCTCGAGTCGTGCGCCATTCTACATCTAGAAGACTAAACAAGGCCTGCCTCGGTAAGCGGTGACCAGGTATACGTAGCACGTGCTCAAGTTAAGGCAATTTATTCAGTGTTATCTATTGTTATAAGGAACTAGCCTGGTCATCACTGCCTAGTACTCGCTTACACAAATCATGGTTGCAGACACGCCGGTGCCACTCGATACCAGCACTATCTCCCAGACAAAGATGATCAAAGACTTGAAGGAGCGGCAGACCTTCAGATAGAAGGTGCCAAGTCTAACTCCCATAGAGTTAGACAGCCCTCACTGTGACCTAGTAAACACGGTCTTTTAGACGGAGAAAATCCACGTTCTAAAGCCACAAATGTCGCAGATTCACAAAGGCAGTTCTAGCTTTGGCTATACATGAACTGACCTCACTGATTTTGCGCACATCGTTGCTGACGTAGCTGCCAAAGAAAGCGAATTGATCAACCACCTCGAGTTCCTCGTTATCAGAAGTCAAGGGATCATCGAGTGGCTGGTGGTCCTGCAGAAATACTTTGCACTTTGAAGGTGCGAAGTACATACCACATATTGAGGCTATTCAGGGTTGACTGCGTCGCCACAACATCGTTAAGCACCAGGACAATATCGTCAGCATAATCAAGATCAATTAACGTTTCACCAGGTAGCACTTCAACGCCAACATCGTGAGATTCCGAAGGGAACACGCGATGATAGAATCCAAGACGAAATTGAACGAAAACGGGGAAGTTAGACAACCCTGAGGAACGCCACTCGTTTTCGGAAAGCTATCCGACAGGTCACCGTAGACCCTGACGCGGCCTGTGGTGTTCGAGTATAGAGCAAGAAGAATGTTCACATAATTCATTGGAAGTCGATGCAGTAAATCTAGTACGCCTGATGCAAAAGGAACATTGCCGGAAACAAATTAGGCGTCATGCGGAGGCAGACGTGACGTGAGCGGCGTTGCGAGGCGTGAAGTTGAGTGGATAGCCGGACACAAAGGACAGAATTTCGAAGGAATTAACACCATTCTTCAACGTTCGGGACAAAATCACGGTGTGTGACGGTTTTGATCCCACCGCCGCTTCACAAAGAAATGCTAGAATAATTGGGTGTTAAATACAGCATTAGTGGAGTAGGCGAACTGATGTTGTGGCCCAGGATGACGTCTAATACGAGATCCAGTATCAAGCAGTCCAGTCTGCTGGCCAGCAGTTGTGCACCTTCAAGAGTGAGCACGGGAGCAGGTGAAAACCAATCATTGAGCAGTACTTTACACTTCGATGGGGCAAAGCTCATGCCATACTTAGATGCTTCAACCGTTAAAGGATCCAGAATGAGTTGCATACCCTGAGGATTGTCACCAAGTAAGGCGATATCAGCAGCATAATCTAAGTCGGTCGCGCGTTCACTCGGTAGAAGCTATAGGCCAAAATGTTGGAGACCTACCAGAGCATTCGACAGAACGTCTTCGATTGCGAAGTTGAAGAGGAATGGAGACATAGGGCAGCCCTGTCGCACACGGCTATTGACAGCGAATGGAGAGGAAAGCTTACCATAGACCTCCACTCTGACGAATGTATGAAGGTAAAGTGCTCGTAAGATGGCGGCATATTTCTCTGGCACCCCGTTCTTTAGCAAGCGACGCCATAAAGCTGGTCGATCAACGGAGTCAAAAGTGACACGTATGTCTAGGAATGCAATGATAGTGGGTCTGTGATAAATGTGGCGATGATCGAGGAGTTGGCGGAGCGTGCAGATTTGATCCACGCATCCGCGGACAGGAAGGAAACCAGCTTGTTCTTCACGGTAGTATGATTCACATACTGGGGATAGCCTGCGAAGCAGAATGGATACCAATAGCTTAGAGGCAACCGAAATAAGACTAATCCAGCGATGATTTGCACATGAAGTGTGAGCGCCTTTCTTGAAAATCGGGACAATAACTGATTCGCCCCAAAAGAAAGGCACTTTCTCTTCATGCCAGATTTTTGCGAACAGCGCGGTAAGCTGGTTAATGATCGCCACATCGCCGTACTTGCATAGCTCCAGAGGAGATCCGTCTAAGCCGGCAGTCTTGAACCGCTTCAAGCGTCGAATCTCGAGGCAGACTTCCGCTTCACTTGGGGGATTCAGTGGGACGAGCAAGGGTGGACAACAAGGTGTCCTGCATGTACTGATGGATGGTGGAGGCCAGTTGAACTGCGAGTGCCAGTGCTCGGCCCAGCGGTCCATACACTGTTGGTTGGTGATCGGACCCTCATCCATCTCACAAATAACCTCACTCACATCAGGCTTCCTGAGGCCAGTGGAAAGAATGAGTTGGAAAAGCCTGCGAGTGTTACCAGAGAGGGCAGCGGTCTCCATCTCTAAAGCACACTCAGACCACATGTCTCGCGATCCTTGTGTAGACTTTGCTTGAGCAGCCGGTTGGCAGAACGGCGCCGCTTATTACAATCTGATTCCGCGAGGATATCTTTGCGGCATTCGAACAGCTAAAGAGAAGGAGCAGAGATCCAAGCCTTCAAGTTAGGTCGCAGTATGACTGTTCAGAAATGGTCATCGCTTTCCGTATCCAAGTCCAGTGTTGTTCCACTTCTTGCGGTGGATTGCAACTGAGTGCATATGCCAGTGAAGACTGATAGCTCTCCTGGACAGAGGAACTAGTTAATCTGCTTACATCAATCTTGCGGTACTTCGTGACCCTCCAAAACATACGGATTTTCGAGCAGACCAGAGCATGATCTGAGTCAAGGAAGGTGGACGAAAAGGACCTGCAGTCTAGTATGTTGCCGCGCCATCTGAAGCTAATTGCAATGTGATCAATTTGAGACCACGGTTGTGTTGAAGAAGAGGGACGCCACGTTGCGGAACGCTTCTTCGTACGCCTGAAATTAGTGCTCGAAAGAAACAGACGGTTGTCTTCGCACAATGTGAGAAGTCTCTCTCCGTTATCAGAGCGGTTCTCATCGAGCGCGTGATGACCACCAAGATGGCGTTCGTATGGTAACAGGCGGCCAACCCGTGAATTAAAAAACCCAGCAAGGATAACGACATCCCACTTTTTAGCATTAGTCAACAGCTATTGTAGATCCCGGTAGAATTCGTCCTTGACCGAATCTCCACTGCAGTCAGTTGGAGAGTACACGAAGATCACAAACAAGTTGCGTCTCTTTTCGCCGTGCCTGTTGATTCTACATGAACCCCGAGGCCGAAATGTACATAATCGGCTGTTAATCGGGAACCAGTCAAGTAGTGCCGCCTTGATCTTGCCACTCAGTGCTATACTTACACCAGTCAAACCCGCTGAGGCTGCTTCTGGATCTTCAGAAAGACGCAGGTGATATCTGGCTTCGTGGTCAGTGGGGGATGTCAATGTAAGCACAGTGCTGGGATCTTACAATCGGGTTTCTGAAAGGCAGTAGACATCAATGTCTAGGGAATCTAGGGTGCGCGTTAGACCAGCTTGCTGTCCATTCTGCATGAGTGTCCGAACATTGAAGCACGCCAGACGGAACGAAGATCGGGGACAAAGGAGAGCCATAGGTTGCACTCCTTGGTCTGCGGCGCAACCGGAATCGCAGCCAGATTGCTGAACACATAAATCGGGTAACGGAAAGTGAGGATTATTAGCAAACAAACAATTGGCGTGTGATGAAGTCGCGTGAAAGTGAGTAGCAGGAACAGTAGCTGATGAGCGTGTTGTAATACAGTCCATGGTTTTGTGAGGGCGTGATACTACCCGTTTGTCCAAGCCGAAGTAGGGAGTTGACTTAGGGGATTCCACCCCGAGCCTTTGGCTAAATAACCTACCCGCAAGGCAGCAGGGCGAATTTAGGGAATCGCGCCCATTGGGAGGCGTTGACTGAATGTTCAGTTCATGCGCCTTTGTTTGGTAGATTACAAAACAGGGGCCCAATACTCCCCATGAAGTTAGCACAATTGCTGGAATACAATGTCCCACCGAGGTGGAACGTTGTGGGTAAATAACATTAGTAATTTGCTAAATCAAAGCAGTAACATAGGAAGGGCAGCAGCGCCCAAAGTTATTGGGATTACGCCATGTGTACATCATGTTAGCCGGTGACAGAGTGGTTCGAGCATACGATCTACAACCCACAGGTCGCCGGTTCGAGCCTACCTAGTTACTAATGACGTTGAAATATCCCCAGGCTGTGTGCAACGCCCAGTGGTCGCGTGGTGAAGTGCTGGTACCTAGCGATTTCGAAAGGATACCACACACCCGCCAAACTATTGAACCACAACGTAGTGTACAAAACGTATGACAAGGAAAGTGCGTGAGAATTCCACGCTCACGTGAATCCTAAGGTTGGGAAAAACGAATTCCAGAAACATCAAGTGACTTCATTTGTTCTGACTAACGCAGTCAACAGTTACCAGCATATGGCGACAAGCAAAAAGTGAATCAAGAGAAGTAAAAAGATAAAACGCCTTGACGCCACTACATGGCGAACAGCTAGAAAAGTGGACCTCGAATCAGGCGCAGAAAGAAAGGTATCAGCAGTATGCCAGTACGCAGTACGGGCGCTATGCTTCCGTGCACGTGAGCTAAGAATGCTGCGAAGTCACCCTTTGTCTAAACAGTCCCGAAGGGTGGGTTAAAAGCCAGAAGCTTGAATTATTCCGTAATCCGGGTTGTTTTCGTCTAAGCTGCAGGCTATGCTATGGATTTCGCTCAAGAAATCCCACGGTGCGAGCAGGAGTGCAGTGCTGGACAAAGATGAATGACAGACGATCGCAGACGGAAAGGGCGAGGCGAGGCGTATGGTTCGGCGTGATGTGGCCCTTCAAGATGCACTTTGAGACGATGGCGTGACAGGGCAGTGTTGGTTTGGCAATCCATTCCGTCGATTCACCACTTCTGTTCTCGGTCAGTCGCATTCACAGTGCTTTCGAATTCCCCCTTAAGGAAATCACGATCCTCCGAAGACCCCTCAAGTTGGTCCGTACCGCTATCAAATTGCATGCAACTGGCGCGAACGCTCCCAAATGCGCACGATTCGTTGAGTGACTAATTCCAAGTTAGCCAATAGTATGCCGGACGAGTACACAGGATCGGATGCTACTGGATGATTTGGGATAATTCACTCAGAGAAAGGTTCCGCATTTAGGGGAGTTCGTGCCCGTCGGATGTAAATTGATAACGGCAGGGACGATCTGGAGAGATCCATGGAAGAATATGATTTCCTTAAAGAGGGATTTGAAAGCGTTATTGATGCAACTGAATAAGAAAATGCATAGAGCTTCTGGGGTGAAATACAAATTTATTAAAATACACGGCGGTGTGCGTGGGTGGAGCTGTGGGCGGTGCAGCGTATGTCATCCATGGAACCTAGGTAGGTGCAGACCCTGTGGCTATTCGCGGTCACAGTTAGTTACAAATACGGAAACGGAGGCTGCCAACCAAATACCGACCATCAGAAGATCGCCGCGCGCCAGACACTGATACACGCTGTCATAACTGATGCACTGCTTCCATCGAACTTGCACGGTATTAGCACACAGCAATGAGTGGCCGATGCGCAGTGACGCATTCTATTAAAAGCGTGCCGGTATAACGCAAGTGGATGTGTTGGATTGAACCAATTCTCCCAAGGAAATTCCAATACAGTGCCGAGGTGACACGGGCATCGCGTGCACTATGAATAGTAGGACTGATCATTTGTTGACTGAATCACCAAGCTTGACTAACTGGTTGCACACGTTTCGGCACCCCACGGAGTGGCATCGTCAGTGCGGTGATGTGCGCTGGGTAATCTTGTCTATTGAATCTTCCTTCCGTGATCGACAGGCAGGTGACTTTTGAAAGCGACACCGACTTGCGTCCCGTGATCTTTGCCCATTTTCCCCGGTGGCTGAAGAGATTGCTCGACTTGTCCATCGCATGTCTCATTCAGAACTTTGCCTTTCGATTCGCAGAATATCTTTCTTTCTTAGTTGTCAGTACGGGGTTGATGTCAGTGCGCATGTCCATAGAAGTATTGGAGAATCGTGCTTCTAGAAATTCCCTCCCTTTTTGTGTCGCTTCAGTAACCAGAATCTCTGTTTTATTCTAATCGAAACAATGTCCCTCCTCGTCAACATGTACTGAGACAAGTGAAGATTCATAACTTTCAGGCTCTATGATATTCGTGTAACCTAGTCGATGACCTTCTTCCTGTCTGCCCGCATAGTTATTTTCACAATTACTGTAGTTTATTTTGTACACAACGTTTGTTCGTGCATTTGATTCCCGATTGTCCTTTGGGCTTGACACTTTTCTTCTCAAGGCAGCAGTTGGCTTGTAGGCAAACATGATATAATATTGTTTGAACAATCTAACCATTATTTCATATATGTTCTTTATATAAGGCAAAACGATCCGTTTGTTTGCTTTAGGCATTGGCTCGGTTTTCAGGGGCTGGTGATTGAAACATCGGCAGGTGAAGCTGCGCGGGTACCCACTGCGTTCAAACGAATTATATGGGTGTTTATTTTCTTCCTGTTTCGGTTCTGAAGTATTGCAATGTGCTGCAATTCTGCGAAACAGCATCCGTACGCAGCTTATTTTGTGGCACTTTGGGCGGTTGTTGGTGAAGTTCAAAATTTGATCCATGTGTGTTTTTTCGGTAAACGGATGTTTGAAATTCACTGTGCATTGTTTTTGTCACTAGTACATTTAAGAATGGGAGCTTTTTTCCAGGACCCGACCATTGTAAACTGAATGCCATCTATTGCGTTGTGGTGTGGTTGGTGTGTAGTTGCAATTTCATCGCATTTGATTATTACAAATGTATCGTCGATATGGCGAGCCCACAACATTGGATTCATTGTTGGCAGTAGGTCTTCTTCCAACTTTTGCATGAGGATCTCAGCAATCAGCGCTGATACTGGGAATCACATCGGTGCCCCCCTCACTTGCTCATAGATCTCTCCGTTGAAGCTGAAGTAACTCGTGAGGCATAGTTGGAGGAGCTTACAAATGCTTGAGGTCGTCATAAACCCAATTTCCTCTGCGCCATGGTTCAAGCGTTCCATTATGATTACTTTCGCCAAATGCAAGTTGACAGATGTGAATAATTCGATTCGTTTCATCGCAAATGTGATTAAGGCGGTGACATCGAAGGAAATCATCATTTCGTCATGATATATTTGCAAGTTTTGCAATTGCTCCAAGGATTGTTGGACATTATTTACGGAGTGATGCGATTCATTGGTTAGATGTTTGAGGCGCTTTCACACATCATTTCCAGGTTGTATTTGCGAGTATCTGGAAGGGAGACAGATCGTCGCAAGGGGGCACCTACCTTGTGCACTTTCGGAAGTCCGTAACGTGCGATGTTTCATTCACGTGCGCTCATTCTGTTACTTTCTATTTCTGCGATTGTATTCAACGGTTAGAGTTCATTCAATGTTCTGTTTACTCAGTTTGTTAAATGCGATGTCGGGTCGTATTCATTGCGTATGTAGGTCGTTTTAGCATTCGTAAATCGTTTTACTTCCGCAATATAGTCTGCTTTTTCCATTATGACTGTCCTGCGTCCTTTGTCAGTACGAAGGACACTGGCTGACTCATCGGAGCCCAGGGCCTTCATAGCTTCTTCCCCTTGTAGAGATAGGGGATTGTATCGTCTGAGGTGCGCCAAGGCAGGGACGACTGTGTGTCGTACTTGCTCCCCAAAACTTTTCGTTAAGTCCGTTAGAACGTAGAGCACATTCGAATTCCGCCAAAAACTCGGTGGCTGTAGCGTCTATGAAACTGTAGTTTAACCTTTTGAAGAGTAGTTGTTGATTTGTCTTACTGAGTCGTCGGTTAGATACGTTCCTGATTCATGCGTTGTAGCTGTTTCCGTCTCCACCGATGGTCAACTTTGACATCTTCCGATGGAGTGCAGCCCGCATCTTCATACTGGCATTTGTCGTTCTGCGTGCTGTTATCAAACGCATTTGCCCTGTCAGTTGTGGTTCGATGGTTCGCAAACAAGTGGTTTGTTGTTTACACAAACATCTCGCATATTTCTGGATGCGACTGTGAGCGTCGGTGATCATCAACCGCATTATGCGTTTTTCAAAGTGACGACCAGTAGCCCCAACCTTGGGAATGGGTTGATATGAAACGTGGGAAGTACTCGTTCAATCCTGTTAACTTAAATGCAGTTAACTGAAAATATAAAAAAGTATACGGTACTCAATCTGGGGCTCCACAGTGAGAATGGACCTAGAGTACTAAAAACACCAAAATGCTGACCTGCGTGCGAACGGCACTGGATCAACTGTAATTGCTAACGTGAACCAGTTTAAGCTAATTAATATCGACGGCGCAGTATGGTTGACCATGTGAGGCTGACTTACTTTAAATATCTTGTGCTCACCAATCTGAGCCACTTGTCGACACTTCGTTATCAAAATCAGATAGTATCCAAGAAGGAAGCGAACCACACCGATAATGCCGTGGCATTTCATAGACAATACGAGAGAACGCCGACTGGTTCCAGTGCTCAAGGTAGATGCAGCAGTCTGTTGAGCCTCTTTAACTGCTTCGGAATGGTCAGAAATCACTGGAGCGTCAAATCTTTGGAGGCTCACGACATCTGGACTCTTATCCAATGGCCGCACGGGTTTCTTTCGAAAGTATCGAAACCATCCACCGGAAGTTGGGTTCGAACTGCAGTCCGACCGTATGCCCATGTGAGAAGAGGTATCGATGGACTATAGAAACAAACATACCAACAAATAATCGAGATGTGCATGGTTGGAAGCAAAGAAAACGCAGCAGCGAAGCAGCTGCAAGTCACATAAAACTTGTTAGTGAACAAAGGCCGTAAAACTGCGAAAGTACGACAGAAACAGTTGAACGGAACGATCAGAGAAGATCTGAATTCGAGCATACAACATGCATAGACTCGCGACCCATTAGGTTACCACCGATGGGAATCTGTTAACAAGTTCAGCTATTGTTAAGTTATTAACTAAGGGAAAGCAGTAAGAAAACGCAGATTGGGTCTAAAGCGACAAGTTTCTGTTCAACAGCCGGAACTGTGAGACAAAAGAGATCGAATATGAAGGGAACTGGTCCACCATGGTTGTCTACTTTAAAAGCGTCCCATTTATCGTAGATTCAACATACCGCCTGAAAAGGACAACACAATCGCGCATCGCAAATGTCACATGGTCCGAGGATACATGTCATGAATAGGAGAAATAATAGCTGGAGTAAAAAGTGAACTGTGATGGTATTTCGTTTCTATTTGGTTCGGTTTGAGTGTCAGTGACTGACCGTAAGCAACAGCTATCAGATACTCGGGAGCACCGCTCGAACAGTTATCTCACAGGGTCATCCACACCTGAGTAAGGTATGTGTATGCGAAATAGGCGCAAAAGCCTTGGCAGAAGGAAGGATGGCTAACTGAAGAAACCGTGTTGACCTAAACTAACAAGCCGATGCCATCTGCTTTCGGTCGTAGAAGGCAAAACCCCAGTGTCGAGCTTGTATCGTGCACTAGACTAGTCGATACAAGTTTACAGGTTGAAGGATAGAGATAATCGCTACTCAAAGGAGTCTAGTGGTTCAGGTAGTTGGCATGAAACTTACACACTGCGTGATTTCTGTCCTTAAAGCTGCATGAGTCTGGGCGTACTAACTAGCATACGTCCAACTGAATGGTGGCGAAGCATAATTACAAAAGGCCGCTGTACTACTATGGTTGAAAAAGTAAATAAGTGTATTTTTATATTGCTGAATTTCGAGAGATGTCAAAATCGTCCTGCCCATATGTGAACATACTAAATGAACCAGGTCATCATGACAGCGACATGTGCTAAACTCTCTAAAGGAACGATGTAGGTGCAACTGATGGAAACACAAAGTTAGGTGAGTGTGGCACTGAAGGATGATGCACAGAGGAAGCTACTTGCTAACGAACTAAGAACACAGTGAACTACAGACATGTAACAGAGTAGAATGGGGCAGAATCTAGATTTAAAAGTAGTAGGCGCTAATGTACATTCGAATTTACGCGATGATATTTTACCCAGAGATTCGTATCAGGAGTAAAACTTTGGTAATCAATACATACTGGGAATATGGTGTTTCGGGTGACAGTCAAAATGAAAGGACGAGAAAAGTGAGAACACATGGGTAAACCCAATCTAAGGAAACACAGGTGAATATCAAGTGGCATCCCAAGCGCGTGCTACGTGTGTTGATACGCGACCGGGTTTGTAGCGTTTTGTTCCATTTAAATAGGTAGCACAATATTAGAACGGGACAAATAACGACACGATAGTAAGATGAAGCTGCAGACAAACAGGAAATCATGACCGCCTACTGTCACCCCTAATAAGCGTGCCGACGTGGCAACACGGGTGCTCCTGTATATTAAGGAGGTAGGTGGTACCAGTTAGTGGTGTAGATGTCGTCTTCTCTTGACAAGTATGACTCAACCGGGTGCTTGCTGGCCGGGGGCCAAAAAGCCACACGCTTGCCTTCTAATCCGAAGGTCGCCACTTCGAGCCTGTGTAGGGAAACGGCCGACCCTTGCAGTATACTTAGCCCAGGCGTGACTGATGGTGGTTGGGTGGCAGCGAAGCGTCAATACGACGTACTGATAATGCTTTTGTGCCGCATGCGTCGCCCGTTGACCTGCCATGAAAACCAAAGTTCACCGGATCGAAGCCACCCGGGTGCCGGCGACTTCGTAGTGTTAGCAGTGAAGTCCCGATACAACATGCCAGCATACTGTAAATGCCGTACTGCATGCGTTTAAGTAGAAGAAAAACGAAGATGAAGCGAAGAAATTATAGGGAGACAGTATTGTCTAGTGGATGCTCTTGTGCATGTATGAGGCGCGCCTGGCTGTAGCTAGCGAAACTTCACACATGCTTCTTTAACTCCGGAAATCTTAAATAGACTTTAAAACAAGAAAAGGATGCATCGGCGAAAAATGGACATTATTGATGAAGTTGCTGATGACGACAACGCGGAGCTTAGAAACGCTAAAAGTATTATACGAGCAAGGCAGATTACTTGCCTGAGAAATAACTACGTCAACTAGCAGAACGTTAACCAATGCAATGCGGAAAATACCTCCAGTGAAAAGTGGGAGCGACAATGCTTGTGTTTGCGCAATGCTGTTGTACGGAGTGGGTACGGGCAGATTCGTGTGAATGATCTGTGTCGGATATTGGACCTTTAACAAAGGTAGTTTGCGGAGGATATCTCGGGTGTGATGGGTACACCATGCTGGTAAGTACTAAGTGTTGAAAACTACTCCGAGATTTTGCTACCTTGGGAGCGTCATAACAACCGATCGGCAGATGACGAGCGAGCTGCACAGCCGCGTATCGAAAGCGACTGCTGCATTTGGCAAGCTGTAATGTCGTGTGTGGAACAATCACCAGCTTACAGTTAGTACGAAGCTGCTGGTAAACAAGTCTATGGTGCTACCGTTCTTCTATACGGCAGAGAAACCTAGACGCTTTACCAGAAGGGGGTCCGTTATCTGGAGCGCTCCCATCAAAAGTGTCTGCGCCGTAGTATACATATCGGCTAGAGTGACGGAGTTACAGACATCGAGGTGCTCTGCGCCGAAAGATCTATATCTCTATATCTCTCATCTGTGGACCAGCATAGCTTTTCTTTTTAGGTTAGTGTACGCGCGCGCGCGCTAACCATCGCATCTCGATCACATGATATCCGTGCTAGAGGACATGGCATGCGCTAATCACGCAACTACCGCACTCACCAGTTTTTGTGACTTCCTGGCGTAAGCGAGGCGTGGAAGGCGAAGACGCGGCACAAGGATAAAAAAACCTTAACGATATCTGTATGTCTGCCGACGCTGACAACGTCAGCCACGAAGAATCGCTTAGTGTCCACATAACTCTTCATTCTCGACGCGAGCGCTTCATCATCATACACATTCAGCTAAGTCTGGGAATCACATATCTTCAGCTACTGTGGCCGCGTCAATAATCGAATCGCTCCAGGTAGCCGGAACACTCCGCTTCGTTCCAGATCCGCTTCGAAATATGGGGGTCAGTGCTTGTTGCAGAGGACCTTCACCTCCTTCCTTAAATAGTGCAGGTGGGATCGGAATGCCGGGCCGAGAGCGGGTCACCGGACGAAAGCGGATTGATTTGAGGTGTGTGGTGCTGTGTGTGAATCGCGGTTCCGCACGTCGGCCTCCACGATGCCTCTATAAACTAACCCGTCCATGCACGCCTGCATCACCTGAGTAGGATGGGAGATGTTCCGGGTGCCGCAGGGGGCCTGCCTGAACGGTTCTTCAACAGTGTTCCGGCCCAACGGAGCCATACGGTGGCGTGCGTCCTTTTTGTGGTGTATCAGCGAGTCGACCCGTGCGCTGTCTCCGATTGGGGGTTCACTGGACGCCTGGATTTTCTGGGACCCAGTGGTGCGGATTTCCTGTAAGAGCTTCGCTGTAACCGCTTTGCCTTAGCTAAGACACCCGAGGCGGCATCATAGTTCTTGGTCGAGCCCGTCTGGTCCACACACTTTACTATATATCAGCTATCGGGGGCACGGCCTAAAAGATGCCGGACATTGCCCACACAACACCAATGCTGTCTCACCACGTAAATAACCCTGGGATCCACAGACCCACAAGAACCAGGGTACAAACACACCCTGAGAGAACCCGGGGGGGGGGGGAATCGGGAGGGCGAGCGTGGGGGGGGGGGGGGACGGGGGGGGGCATAGAGATGTTTGGGGGGGGTATCATTAAACAGTGGGGGGGGGGGGACCCATCA